TTTTAAAAAAAAAAAAAAAAAAAAAAAAAAAAGAACAGTCAATCCCTGATCTTTTCCTCTCTAAACAAAATCTGCTATGAAGAAAAGATAAAGTGTTAGTCATTCACACTTTAGTATGAATTCAGACATGACATTCAATCACAGTTGCCTGGAGAGCTATACTGAGAAAGATTCCAAAGTCCACTCAGGGTCATTGGAAAAGAGATATGGTGATTACAGCCCAAGAGAGGGACACTCACCTCAGGGACCAAAGCTGCCAGGTCTGTAGTTGTCAGTGGGACATTGCTGGGAACCTGGACTCAAGATCAAATGGGAGTGAAGGTTGGTGAACACAGACAGACAGGAGTCCCTCAGCACACACAGAGCAGTTTTGTCCCCTGCCCCCCAAACCGCCAATTACACACACACACATCACTACCAACACTGGAATTTATTCTCTTAGCCAGTGATCACCGAGCACTTGCTATGTGCTGAGGGGCACATGCCCAGGGCTTTGCGTGCCTTCGCTCATTCCCCTTCACAACAGCTCAAAGAGGTGAGTGCTATGAGTGCCCCCATTTTACAGATGGGGATATTGGAGCTCTTGCCCAGGGTCATACAATCGGTAAATGGTGGCACAGGATTTGAACCTAGGCAGGCTAATTTTTGAACACTTTAACCACTCTCCCAAAGCTCACTATCAGAAGGCCCAGGGATCTGACCCCAGACATTTTTGCCTTTTACCCAAACAGTATTTTTAAAAACTGAATTTGTTTCCAGTATTTGCGAATCAGGAAGTTTCATATAAATTTTCCAGGTTCTTGCTAAAAAGTTGGAAAACTGGTCACACTGAGCCCATATCCCCTCCCCTTGGGAAAGCTGAGTGGCAGTTGCCTGAAAAGTGGGGCACAGGCTCCCCAGTTCATTACAGTCCCACGAGGCTGCTAATCAATGATGGCCTGGCCTCCCAGGGCCCTGATGTCTGAGACCCTGAACTACACATGCCCACTTCTCAGAACAGGCCTGTTCACACAGGATGAACACACACAGACACACACTGTCTCCTGGGCAGGAGCATTCCCAGACACTCTCCCAACACACACCCGGGGGGGTGGAGAGCACCAGGATGTGGCCTCTGAAGTCACTCTCTCTTGCCACAATCCTCATATACACACATCCACACCCACAGGCTGTTCAGACACACATGTTCTTACACTCAGAGTCTCTGCCTGGCTATGACTGCCCCCATCTCCCCAGCTAGAAGACACCTGCCTCCCAGCTCAGGACATGTTCAACCTCCCAGAAGCCTGCAGGGCACTCTCTAAATCACACCTGCAGGAGGTGAGTGACCACCTCCTGCTCCCTTGGGCATGCGCTGCAGGTGGGGAACCCAGGTAGCTCAGAACTCACTGCCTCTAGAGAGGGCTGAGACCAGGAAAATGCCTCTGGGCGGGGCTCCTGGGATCTGAGCCTTCCAGACCCACCAAGGTGTGAGAGGAGCCAAAATGGAAGCAGGGAGATCCTAGAAGCTTCAGAACAAATGTGCAAGTGATCTCTGGTACAGTCCAGCTCTAGTTTTGTTCTCTCCAACTCAATTCTGAGCTTGAGAAAGTAGTGAAAATGGTAGCCATTCATTCACACTTTAGTATAAAATTGGGCTTAGACTCAAGAATTGCTCATCTGGTACAGGGACAGAAAGTTGGCTTCATTTCATATGCCAGTTATGACCAATTGACAGTAACTTCCTGAGTGCCAAGTTGAGAAGGATTCAGAGGTCCCATTCAGGTTTAACCAAGTGGCACACCATTAAGAATTAGCAATGTCTACCTCAAGTACAGGAGTGGGCAGCAGCAGTGTGTACATGATAAACTTGCCCAGCTCTCTCCTATTATAGAGAAGAAGGCTCAGCAAGGCTGATCAGTGATGATGTGACTAGATTAGCACTAGCATTACCAAGGCACGGCAGGGCAGGGAGCCCCCGTCCCAGCTCCCCTGTGCCACACTCACCAGCTCAGGGGTGATGTCTATGTCGAGGACACCATTGGTCTGCAGAAGCCCAAACACAGTATTGAAGAGGTACAGTGGCACTGTCACCTGGGACGTGTGGTCCTCCTTGGGGGGCACCTTTACAGGGACGGGAGGCTTGGGGAAGTCAATGATGTCACCAGCTACACTCTTCACAATGGGCTGCAGGGGCAGGGGACAGACAAGGCATAGGAGGGTCTCAGGCTGCTTACCTACCTGGCCTTGACCCAGCATCCCCTATCTGCCCTTCTCCACTACTTGTGCCACCCCCAGCTGCAGATAGACGCTTTGTGGGCACTCACATTGATGTCCAGCTCTATGTACTGGTTGGAGATGAGAGGCAGTGTGGCCAGAGTGAATTCCACGGACCCAAGAGCCCCAAAGGGCACCAGGCCTGAATGGAAAAGGGAGGGGGAGAAAGACCCCATGAGACAGGCCACAATAATAATAGCCCGGACTTCTATTTATTAAGTACCTGCTGAATGCCAAGCACTCTACTAAGTATTCACTTGGGTGCTACTCTTTTCCCCATTTTACAGAGGAGGAAACTGAGGCTCAGACAGAGGAAGTCACCAGCCGAAAGACACAGCCACAGAGTGGGAAAGCCAGAATTTTCCAGAGCTGGTGCCACTAACACATGGCTGCCCTGCCTCTTTTACATAACACCACATAAAGAAACATATCTGACCAAAGTTTTCTAACCTTTTCCTGGTTACGTCTTTTCATACTTTCTAAAGCCCTTTCTGTGAATACAAAAGGGATCCGTGTCTCCATAAGGTGCAGAGAGACTGGGTCCACTGTGGCTGTGGGGTCTTGGTTTCCTTACCTAAGCTCTCTGAGCTTCGATCATCTTGTCTGACCAAATAATAATAATAGCACCTTCCTCCTGTTTCTGACAGTGCCAGACACACCATAGGTAAATGCTGGCCTGTAACGCCCAACGTTCAGAGAACTGGATGGCTCTGAATCCCCACCCCCGCTGAACCGGACTCGGCCCAGGGCTTCTCCATTAGGCCTCCTCCAAGTGGCCAAGAAGTGAAAGGTCCCAGAATTCTGCCCCTGCCTCCTTCCCCCACCTCACTGGGGTAATGGAGGGGAGAGATAAGAGAACTGGCAAGAAGGAGGGGGTGGGGCCCCAACTTACACAGCACAGCCCCCAGCAGCTCATTCACCACGCCCAGCACACTGTCCACCACCGGGCATAGCTGTGACCAGAGGAGACAGATGTTACAAGAAAAATAAAAGTGAACCCCTGCTTGGTGCAGGGGATGGCTGCATTTTCTTTAAATGGCTTGCTATGTGGCACTGGGGACCAAAGCATGGCAGAATGTGGAGACAGAAGGGGGGGACACATAAGGTGGGAGGCAGGGGAGGGGCTGCAGCTTGATGGGTCAGAGGGCTGAGTGGGCCCCAAGCCCACTTTTCTTGGTTACATGAGCCCCGTTAGAAAGCCCCACAGATTGCTGGGGAATAGGGCAGACATAGTTCAGAGGCCAGTTGGGGCGTGGGGACAAGGCCTTCCCCTGAGAAGGCAAAGGCGGCTGCAATTCCCTTCGAGGCCACAGTCCCCTCCTGCCATCCCAGATGGCCACTGGGAGGCCTGGAGTCAGAACCCTGCAGAGGGGCACCTCCTTTCCACCCAGAGAGTCAGGCCTGGACCTAGGGAGTCCCCTATATATGCCACCACATGTGTACTGAAAACCCCTGTGCTGAGAGAACAGGAAGCAAGTGGTTTGGCTTCCCAAAATCTCAAGTCTGGGAATCAGAATCTGAGTCCCATTGCCCACTGGAGCAGGAACCTCAGAGATGACCCAGTCCAGCTCCTTCATTCTACAACTGGGGCCAGAGAAGAAAGGCGACCTGCCCAAAGTCACAGCTGTTTGCAGAGAGGCAACAAAGGCTGCTGCATTTAAACATAGAGCCACCAACTCCTGGGCCTCTGGGCTCAGGCAAGTCACAGAAATGAGAGAAGACAGAGGGACTGGGGCAGGGGGCAGCCCCTTTTGGCACCAGCTGTGTGTGCCCTGCTGGAGGGAAGTACCAGGCAGCCGGGGTGGCTGATTGCACAACAGAAGCCAGAAATCCAGATTAGGAGAAATTTTCAATCCCTAAATGTTGGCAATAAACTCTAATTTTAAAAATCTCTTTGTATCACACAAAACCCAGTTTCTGGCTGATTGCCCTAGAGACCCCAGTTAGGGTGGCGATTTAAATGCACCTGCACCCCCTTGTTGAAATCCACCTGAGATGGGCCTGGGTCAGGGCCCCAGCAGCTGGGAGTGTCCCCTTCTCCTGCTGAGCTTCTTTTCCAAATCAGCTTCTTCAAGCCTGGGGCAGTCTTGCCAACCCCAGGCCCCCCCCCTTGTTGAAATCCACCTGAGATGGGCCTGGGTCAGGGCCCCAGCAGCTGGGAGTGTCCACTTCTCCTGCTGAGCTTCTTTTCCAAATCAGCTTCTTCAAGCCTGGGGCAGTCTTGCCAACCCCAGGCCCCCACTCCTCTGCCACCCCACAGGGGTTCCTCACCAGGACTCACAGGAAAGCCAGCCAGGCCCGGGGGCAGGAGGCCTGACTGCCTTTTGCTATCTGTGTGACCCCAGCAAGTCCCTGCCTTGTCCCTTGGGAAAAGGGGCTTGGATCGGACCAGCGTTCTCAAATATGATTCGTTTTCCCTGGTGGATGCCAGGATGGCCTGGGATGGGCCATGGACACACATCCTTGAGCAGTTTAGTCATAATGTGTTCAATTTAGGATGTATGAATATATATGTATGTGATTGCCTAGCACAGGGCGCAATTTAAAATCATTAAGTGACCTCATTTTAATTTAAAGTTAATTTAAAGAAAAACATAAAGTTATTAATAATACAAGTGGCAAAAATATAGTGTAGGTAAGCAAGAGACTCAGATTGGGGACTCAGGGTATCTGTAGCTGTAAACTCAGGCTGGGAGGCCTGGGGAGGTTTGTACCGGCCCACCCACAGACTAGCAGGAGGCACCTGGGCTGGGATTACACAGTGGGGCAGTGGGCGTGGAAGGGAAGTTCAGCCTAATCCTGCCTGGCGCCGGCTTTACTCAGTGGAGGAGGGGCATACCCCGGAGGAGGGGCACGATGGGCCCACAGCCTCCACACTCACCAGTCCTGGAAGCACCTTGAAGAGTGTCTGTTCCACGACCCCAAAGAGTGGTGCGGGCAGCAGCCTGGGCAGAATGAGGCACATGAGGGTGTGGCTGCCACATGGGGACAGCTCCACCTGGATGACGGGGCAGGTGGGCACAGGGGGCTCTGCATTTCTCCTTTCCCCTCTCTTGGTGGGGTTGGCTGGGGCTTGAGGCCTGGGTTTAACTCCTGGCTCCACTGACTCAGGGGACGGCTTCAGTTCTCCCATCTGTACAATGCCCACCTTTTAGAGTTGCTGCTGCCAGATTAAATGGGAGCATATACGTGTCTGGTATACAATCTGTGCTCAATAAGTGTCTGTCCTCTTTGTATCCCCCAACATTTGTAGACGAGTGACATTTGGGCCTAGGATAGCACCTAGCTTAGAAAGGGGGGCTCAGTAAATATTTGCTGAATGAATGAATGAATGAGGTGGTGGCCTGAGGATGAGAAGGCAAGTAGATGGGCTCTGGTCTGTTTGGAGACCATGGAGGTGCAGGGGGAGGGGTGGCAACCACAGAACCACAACCACAGGACACCAACACCATCCTGGGCTCCACTCTCTACAAGGCCCCCCTAGCCCAGAGGAACAGACGGAGCCACTGGAATTTAAGGAGCCCAGAGACCCTGCCTGGAATCCCCTTATTAAGGCCCTTCTGGAAAGAGGAGCAACCAGGTTCACCCTGTTCCTGGGAACTAACACAGAGCTGTCTGATTACCCATCATGCTGAGAGCCACCCAGTGAAGATGGGGAGGGGCCTGGGATTGGGTCTGGAATGTAGAAACTGGTGGGGGAGGTATGAGGTGTGAGGTGGGGGAGGGGCAGAAGAGGGGGCAGGTGTGACTGGAGGTGGGTACAGGTGCTGGGAAAGGCCTTGGACCTAGTCAGAGAGCACCCCCTCTCTGTCCCTGCCTCTATCTGTGTGTGTGATTGGGCAAGTCCCTTGTCCTCTCTGGGCCTCCATTGTCCCATGGGACTCAAGATTCAGCACAACTGTAGGGAAGGCCACTGTGTCCTGAACAGCCCCACAGAAAGAGATGGATGTGAAAGTGCTTTGTGGATCATCAAATCCAGGCCCTCACTGTACAGATGGAGACACTGAGGACCAGGCAGGGGAGGGGGGTTCCCCTGGGGTCACACAGCAAGTCAGGGCCAATCCAGCTCTCTGATGTGCTGAGAGCAGGGACTGAGATTCTAGCAGATGGAGGGACCCCAGACGGATCCCAGGTCGGCTCTCCCCAGAAGAGCAGACAGCAAGATACTGGGGCCAGACAACAGGACGCCCATGAGTGGGCGGCCTAAACTGTGGGCTGGGCTGGAGTCCCTGTCCTTGGTGGAACTGCTTGTCTGGTTGAACCAGGCGGGACAGCACGGGGACCGCGGGGACCGGGATGAGTTCAGGCCCCGCCCAGCCGGCCTCTCGGGAGAGACCCAGGAGACTCCCAGATGCGGCGAGACACGACGCAGAGCGCGTCGGGGGCGCGGGCTCAAGGCTGCCACTCACCCCGAGAGCAGGCTGATGTGACCCAGGAGCGTGCTGCAGCGCTTGAGGACGAGGATGGGCGTGCCCCGCGAGCTCACGCCCAGCGCCACCCGCGACGACACGTTCACCTCGGCCGCCAGCTGCAGGAGGCCCCCCAGGGGGCTGCGAGACCCGACCCTGGGGGCGTGGCCTGGCTGCCAAGCCCCGCCCACCAGGCCTCGGCCCCGCCCCGCCCGTGCAGGTCCAGCTGGGCCCTGACGAGGGGCGGGTGGGGGTTCTCTGCGAAGGGCTCGGTCCCCGTGCGCACTTCTTACCCCCTGCCTCCCTGCCCCACTTTGCACATCCCTGTGCCCTTTTCCCCCACCGCCTGCGCGAGCCCCGGGCAGTGGGATAGGGGGTCCCGAGAGTAAGATGGAAGTCTCTGGGGGCCAGTGGAGTAAAAGTCCTTAGGGAGAGATAATGGGGTGGAATCCAGGGGGACACAGTAGGGTGGGCCGTCCCTCGGGGAGGAAGTAGGGTGAGAGAAAATAGGGGAGCAGTGGGGTGGTGGGGGGGGACAATAGGGTAGAGGTCCCCAGAGGCAAACTCACCCAGAGCCAGGTGGGCCGTCCCTCGGGGAGGAAGTAGGGTGAGAGAAAATAGGGGAGCAGTGGGGTGGTGGTGGGAGGACAATAGGGTAGAGGTCCCCAGAGGCAAACTCACCCAGAGCCGTGCAGGCCCACCTTGGTGTGCAGGTTCAGCTGCACCCCGAACCCCGGCAGCAGCTTCAGCGACACCTTCGGCAGCGTGAGTTCCTCAATCTTCAGCCTGGACGGGAGTCAAGGAGACAGCTGCTCACTCCCAGACAGCCCCTAGTGCCTGAGCCACCCAGACCAGGCAGGGCCCAGAGTCTCTCCTGGATGTGTCTCCCATCCCACCTCAATCCCACAGAACAAACTGTGAGAACTTAGGCTAGTTACCTCACCTCCCTGGGCCTCAGTTTCCTCCTCTGTAAAGGAGCGATACTAGTGTCCACCTCACAGGGGTGTTGCAAAGACAAGTGAGATACTGTAGGTGCAGAATCTAGTACAGCGTGTGCTCAGTAAGTGTAATGCCACTATCATCACTGGAGGCTCAATGAATTAGTTTTCTCCCATCCCATCCCCACGCCGCAGTCCTGGTTTGGTTCTGACTTGGATGTTTCCCCCATCCGCAAGCCGCGGGCTCACACACTAGCAACCTAAGTGAGTTCTCAAACACAGCTCACTACTTTCTCTGTCCTCTCGGTCTTTGCCCAGGCTGTTCCCTCGGTCTAGAACACCCTTCCCTTGACGCTCCTTCTACTCTGCATCCCCCTTCAACTAACTTACTCCTCTGGCTCTCCTGATTTCAGCAAGGGAGTTCCTCCCAAGAGCCAGCCCTCCTTCTTGGTTTTCTGCTTCAGGCAGACACCCTCTGAGCCGGTCCCCCACCCTGCCTAGGCTGTCTCTGTCACTGCCCTGAACTCATGGGATCGTTGCTGCTGGGCTCTGCCACACACTGGGGGCTCTTTGAGGCTAGGACAATGTCAGGTGCATTCCTGAGACCCCAACCTCACCCAGCTGTGGGAGGGAGATGGAATATAATAGTAGTAGCAGTAGTAATAGTAGTAGGATTTTCGAGCACTTTTTATATGTCAGATTATTTTAGCTGCTTGACGCAGATTAACTCAGTGTCCTGGCAACAACCTCACGAGTAGCTGCTGATAGTGCAGTCCGTGAAAGACAGATGACTCAAATCCAAGCTCCACCACTAACTGACTACATGCCCTTAGGCAAGTCACATTGCTGCCCTGTGCCTCGGTTTCCCCATCTGTAAAATAGGGATATTGACAATACGTACCACACAGAGTGCACCTCAGGTAATGTCAGCTTTACCAGCCCCCTTTCCAGACATCGTGTGCTGTTTTGGGAGGTGGACACCAATCCCCTTCTTCTGTTGCCAGCACTCCATTTCCTCCTGTCCAATGACCCTTCCCCATACCCTGGCTCCTGGAATTCAGCCTTCTCTGAGGCCTGTCATTTGGCCTTCTTCTGATTCACCATTTGCCAATGACCTTGGCCAGGCAGTATGGCCTGTGATCAAACAGGTAAACACATTCCCCCTCCTGCCCCAGCTGGGTGATCTTGGGCAGGTCACTTCACCACCCAGGGCCTCAATGTCCTAACCTGTTAAAAGAGGTTGATAACAGTCCTACATCCGGATTTAGGATAATTCATCTACAATGCTTAGCATAGTGCCAGACACACAGAAAACCCTGGATAAGTGGTCATCGAGTTGCAAATATTAGCTGTTATGTGATTTCATTCATTCATTCATTCAAAAATATTTTTTGAGTATCTCTTATGGGTCAAGCCCTATTTATGATGCTGCGGACATGGCAGTGAACCAACCAGATAAAAATCCTACCCCTCCTGGGGTTTATAGTCTAGCAGGGGAGACAAAAAAAAAAAAAAAAAAAAAAAAAA